TTTTTTTTTTTTTGGGACAGAGTTTCGCTCTCGTTACCCAGGCTGGAGTGCAATGGCGCGATCTCGGCTCACCGCAACCTCCGCCTCCTGGGTTCAGGCAATTGTCCTGCCTCAGCCTCCTCAGTAGCTGGGATTACAGGCACGTGCCACCATGCCCAGCTAATTTTTTGTATTTTTAGTAGAGACGGGGTTTCACCATGTTGACCAGGATGGTCTCGATCTCTTGACCTTGTGATCCACCTGCCTCGGCCTCCCAAAGTGCTGGGATTACAGGCGTGAGCCACCGCGCCCGGCTATTTTTTAATTTAAAGATAGGGTTTCACCATGTTGGTCAGGCTGGTCTTGAACTCCCGACCTCAGGTGATCCGCCCACCTTGGCCTCCAAAGTGCTTAGATTACTGGCGTGAGCCACTACGCCCAGCCTAATTTTTGTATTTTTAGTAGAGATGCGGTTTCACCATTTTGGCCAGGACGGTCTCGAATTCTTGACCTTGTGATTCATCCACCTCGGCCTCCCAAACTGCTGGGATTACAGGTGTGTGCCACCATGCCTGGTCTGTATAGTTTTTATATTAATCCTTATATGGACTGGATTCTTGTCTGAGACACAATTCCAAATTTTGACTGCCTGTAGCTATGAGATTTAGTGTGCTGTATTCAAGTGGGAGCGTGACAATTCTTATTTTCAGCTGGGCGAGGATACAAGAGTCACAGTCTCATTGGTGTGTTGGGCCCTATCATGACACACTGTGCAGCTAAAGGGCTTTAAAATGTACACCTGAGAGTCACTATCTGCTCTGATACCTTCATGCCTGTATGGATTCACAATCTTACTCATTCCCTAGAATCAGGAACGAGATTGAACATCTCTCTTATTGGCTGGATCCAGGTATGAGAGTTATCACCGTTCCTGTGATCTGAGTCCATCAATGAGTCACCATGGGAACTGTGGCCATATTCACTTATGATCATCACAGGCCCAGAACCTAGGGATGTGAGGCTCCTGCCTGAGCCCTGCCTGCAGCGAGCCTGTGACATATGTCTGCATCCATCACCTCAGAGTTGTGATACATTTTCTGCCTGAACTTTGCCAACAAGAAAAATTGTGACGTATTTCTGCACCCAGCAACCTGTTGATGTGTCTCTCCTGCCTTGGATTGTCCCACAGAGAGCATTGTGACATACTGCTGGGCCCAACACCCAGGTGAGCTGACTTTGTTCCTGTTGTATTGCTTTCAGGAGGAGATTTTTAAATATTCTTGGCTAAGCATGCTAATGATGTGACCCTTCAGCCTGGTCTCTGCTTTCATAACAGACTGTGACATATCCATGGCCTAGTGCCTAGGTGCTGTGTCTCTCCTGCTTGCTCCTACTGAGAGGTGGCATTGTGACATATACCTTGGTTCAGCTCACAGGTACAATAATGACTAGCATACCTTGTGTGTTGAACCAGCGAACAGAAGAGATACTCTCATATTTAGGCTTACAAAAATGAGTAAGGCCCTGTGTCTCCTCTTTGTAAGAAGCTTATAGAAAGTTACTACTCTCACCCACCCTCTCACATTGACAGAGCCTACAGGTGATGTTTTGA